TGACGCGGACGTCTGGAACGAGTCAGTTACGTAAGGTCGGTTGTTCCGGACCTCTGGGAAGACATGTGTAGAGTCCTCAAGCACAGTTCATTTGGTGTAAGATGGATAGATGGATGGATGAATTGATGGATGGGTAGATGGATGGATGAAGCGACCAGGGGCGCGCGGCCTTACCATACGGCACCTCCTTGAAGGCTTTTTGGGCCGCGTAAGAAGTGCAGCTACTTACATGGGGCATGTGTGCGCATGTGGGCTTGGTGGCAAATTGCTCCGCTACGTCTGGAACACGTCTAGAACGGGTCTGGAACGGGGGTCCGGAACGGTTACGCGAGTGGCTTGCACTTGGGAATGCTAGCAAGCAACGGGTTTCCATACAACACTGAGAAAACAAAAAAAGGGCGATCCCTCCGCTTCCGCGCCGCTTCCGCGCCGCAAAGCGTACCTTCTGCAGCATCCATAGCTGCGAATGCTCTTCATCTGCTCTGGTCAGCTGTTAAAATTGCGATTGGTTATTCAGCAGATCCAGACCAAGGCATCTGCCGTAGAAGATCTCGAGAACATTTCGGGAAAGGCTCTTGGTTCCAGTTTGCGGGCTACGCCAGCGATATGGGCATCGTTTGGGCATCGTTCGGGGCATCGTTCAAACCAAACCGTTTTCTTGTCCAGGCATGGTCAGTTTGATTTGTACGGCAGGCCATCAAACAAGAAGAAATACGGCCGCGCCGTGTTTGGTTGATTTCCCTTTGCTGAAATCCCTCAAAAACACAGTAGTTTTCGACTTCCTTGTCCACCTTCTTCGAGTGAATTGTAAAGGCATGAGGAATGAGAAATGCAAGGGAAATGAAGGGGAATGAAGGGGAAACGAAGGGAAACACAGGGAAATCACCTTTGCACATATGCACATACGCACACACGACGCTGGCACACACGCGCACATTGCCAGGGTATCGTTTGAGGGGCGTCCGGGGTGTCGCTCTACCTGTCACCAAAACTCGCAAACGCAGCCCTGACCAGCGAGGTGGACAGACTCAGCTAATACAAGAAAGGCCTGGAATGCAGGCTGTTGGCGTGTTGGATCACCTTTATGCAGGATGTCTGTGCTACACTTCTCTCTCCACCGTAGAATCTTCCAGACAACTGTTCATGTCGAACCGTCCGCCTGCGCATCACGTGATTTTTTCTCTCGCCAAGCGCAAGCCTCCCCAGTTTTAGGCTATGAATTGCACAGCGCACTGTGCTCCTAGCACCCACCGCTGCCCGAGACGCACTGATGGCTCAGAGCAGCGGGCTACAAGGAAACGGTGGCCTTCTTCCGCTCCGAAGCCCTGCGCGCCGCCGCAGCCATCAGATCCACCAACATTGCCTGCAACAACCGCGCGCCCCGTCAAACAAACATCTGAACGGGCCCAGGCACACAATCATGTGAGCTGGAATGCTTTGTTACCCACCCCTGCCAGCACTGACCTCCTGGCCTCTGTGGCTGTCTGCAAGATGTCCAGGGCATCTGCAGTAATCCTCAAGCTGCTGGCCTCCTCGTTCGGCTTGGAGAGCCAGCGCACGGCAGGAAGAGAGAGCGCTTGTGCAAAATCTCGGCCAAAACCTCCTTTGCCAACTTGCCAAAGGGGCCCTTCGGGATGACAGAGTCTCCTGAGGCTTGCTCAGCCTTAATCTCCTGAGCAGCCTTGTAATGCTTGAAGGGCGCCCGCTTAATGGTGCCCTTCACTATGCTCTTCTGGCACTTGTTGGAACGCTCCTGGCTTCGTTGGGTATTCTTTAGTTTCCAAAGGGTCCAAGTTTTCTTCGTTTCCTGTGTGGCTGGCCGAGAAGGCCAAAAGCAGGACATGGACACTATTTATCTAGCTTTGTTAAGGCTGCAATACAAATCTTGCGCGCAGCAAAAGACATCCAACCAGGGAATACAATGGTTTTTAAGTAATTCGGAGTCCTTGGCAGCGCCATGCCCCGGCCCTGACGCGGACGAGGCATTCCCGGGGAAGAGCGCGCAACTTATGTATACGCAGCCAAACGATACCCCAAGTAAACAAAATTAAGCCCCGAAATCGACATTCAGGGCTCTTTCCCTGCTTCTGGTTTTCTCTCGACCGCCCGCATAAGAAGCACAGAATACTGGGACATGCTGGGACCCATTAGAGGCTAACCAATAGTCACTCTTGAGAATTATTCCCCTGCCCGAATCCAGCCAAACGATACCCCGAAAGAACATTTAGGCCCATCTGGTTTTCTAGGACGGCCTTTCTGGGGCCGACCACGCAGGAAACACGAAATGCTTCACCCGTTAGAAGGTGAACAATACCCTTCAAAGTCATTCTCCACGCCCGACGCGGACGCCCAGGCATTCTGAGGAAAAAGAGCATATGATCATCAAAGATGACAAACGATATTTCTCCTAAATGATTTGTTTCAAAAATGCGATTTTGAACTATTTGGCTCCTACTAGCCTTCCTTTCCTACTCAAACAAAGGCTGAAGCAACCAGGAGCCAAGCATTACCCACAAAGCCATTCTCAAAACGCACTTGTGAGCCTGGTGCCGCGTCTTGGCGATCTGCCCCTGTGTTTTTGGCGCAGTGGCTGGCATTACTGGCATGCGTGAGCCTGTGGATGCTCGTTCGCCCTGCTGCCGCAAAATTCTTCGGCGAGCCCCAACAGTTTTCCAGCGGTTTGCGTCTTGCACAAAGTGATTTGAGCTAGCGTCAGACCGATCGCCGAGTGGCCTCTTGTTTTTTACGCCGCACGCGTGGCATCCACAAAAGCGAAAGGCTCTGAAAGACTGCGGTCAAACAATCGTCCCTCTATGGGCCGTCCGTTCACTGCCGACGCATGATGGGCATTTCTGACTGATAGCATCCTCTTGCAAGACAAGTATTGCACAGCACCCCCTGTGCAAGTTCCCACGCCCGATCCGGAATAGATCCGGCACATCTTCAAATCCAAGCGCCGCTTGGAAAGCACCCGTGTCACTGCAACTCAGCACATATTTGACAGAGAACGGGCCCAAACAAGAGCAGTCTTGCAAAGCGCTTCATGAAACCTATAGACGCGCGCGGCCCGAAGTCAGCAAGACAAACTTCTAATCCACATCCGGAACCCTGGCCTCGGTGCAGTCGGCGCAGCGACATATGTCACCGCCAGACTCTTGGAGTCGTTGACTTTCTGCGGCCGATCTTTGAAGGACTATGTCCATCACCCCATCCACGGTGATGTGGCCAAGCTTGGCGAGGCTGTGGACACAAGCGTAACACTGTCCGCCGCACACGGACCGCTTACTGCGGCCATGTGATCGCACAATTCTGTACTCCCAACCACATTCGTGCTTTCTACGGCCACATATGGCGCAAGCAGTTTTCAAGAGGTGCAATGTCCGGGCCACATTCCCAGCGCCTGAGCCATGCCTTGAAACCCAAGCTTTCAAGCGCCTCTTCTGCTCGGGTAACAACATCGGCAGTGAAAGAGGGGCGCTAGCCGGAACGGGACCTTCTCCAACCGCCTCACACAAAGCTCAATCGTTCGATCAGCATTCGGGCTCCTTCAAAGCAACTAAAAGATCACCCGAATACATAAACCGGAGACATGCAATTGCTAACGACCCCGACATATATATATATATATACTAACGGGTGCATTTGCAAGCACCCTCATACTATACTTTTTGTTGTTTGCGTGCACCCTGCCAATCATTTGCAGGCAGTTGCCTTAACGAAAACAACGCGTTGCTTCAATACTCTAAACTGCACATAAACTAGGCAAGGTCTAGAACGAAAGTCTAGAACGGAGGTCTGCAACATGTTTCTAAGCAAGGTCTAGAACGGAAGTCTGGAACGGAAATTTAGATCGCATATAGGTTCCGGACCCTGTTCCGGACCTTATAAATTAACTCGCAACCATATAAAATATAATTAATCATCACTATATAATAACATTTTAATTTATAAAATACAATTTCCAACTCCAAATCAAAAATCATAATTTTACAACAATAACCAAAATAAAATACATTTTTTAATACTAACAACAAAATACAAAAAAACCTAAATTTCTCAAAACTATTATTTATCCATTATTCAACATATCACCAATACCAAAAACACATTAACCAATTATAATTCATTAATTATTCTATTTAAACATAATTCAAATATATATATATATATATCAAAATACCACCTTAATAAATAAAACCAAAAACTAAAACCCACATAACCCCAACTCTTTAATTTTAATACACCCATCAAAAAAATACATTTCATTAACAATTTTATAAATAATTACAATCTTTCTTACCAATCATAAATAACATATACCATTTATACACCATTTTTTTAAACTATTAACAATACACATTGTTTTCTCAATATTTTTCAAATTACAAAACAATTTCCTAAATATCTATAATAAAAAGAGCCATAATACCATATAATGTCAAAATCAACAAACAATATATATATATATGTATACACATACATACATAAAAAAAAAAAACAATAAACCACAAACATATATATATATATATATAAATAAAAAACAAAACAATTAAATTTCACAACAATTAAACCAAATAAATAAATACATAATCATAATACTAAACATATAAAACTATGATACAAATCAAATTTAATAAATCTAATAAAATACAAACACATAATACAATAAACCATACTTAAACAATATACAATAATAAATACAAAAATCAAATTTAGAAAATACTATTTCATGAAATTTCTTCCTCATTAATTAATATAAATAATATAGTCATTTTACATTTATTTTCTTTAAACTCAAATTATATATATAATATTCATTATATTATTTTGTATTCTCATACTTTGCCCCATCTCTTTGCCAGCACATATTTCAATAAATAAATATATCTACAACCACATATACAAACATAAATAAACATTTATCTATGATCTGTGACGCACTATGGCATATATACGAATAGCCACAATCAAGTAGGAAATCTCAAATTTGAATTGTGTTTCTGCTTCTCACATCACTCCGGGTAGAACTCGCCATTGGCAAAGTATACGCGCAACCTTACTGAGCTGATGCTGAGAAACAAGACTCTTCTGCTTCGGGAAAGCACACGTGGCCTCGCATGGTTGCTGTGTTGAGGCTTCGAACTCCCTTGTGCCACCCATGGCACTCAGCCATGGTAGTTTTGCCCCCATTTGGCCTAATTCATTGCATAGCAATTGCTCATGGTGCATGATAAATATGTAAGACAAATCGATCTGCACATGTTTGATGGCTCAATCAATTTGACGTGATGCCATTGAGATGGTAGATTCCTTGCTTGCATGTTGCGCATGGCAAATCAGTTCCGAAGTGCGAAGAACATGTACATCGCAAAAAAGCCACGGCCGAAATGGAGAGCCAGAGTGAACAATGGACATTTCTGACAGAGTTGCTGGAGAAACAGGCGTCAAGGACTGGACAAGTGGACAAGCTGTGTTCACAGGGCAAAACAACGCCTTTGGCCGAACACAGCCTACTTGACTATTACTTTAATTGTGATAAAATTTTGTTCAATGGACATAACCTCCACAGCACACCTCACAGTATCTGGTGATTACCGCAAGCTGTAGTAGGCCCAAATGCCAGCCGGACAACATCATGTACCTCTTGTTGGATACCCCCGACCACTAAACAAACCAGTTTTCATCAGGTGCAAGGCATTTTGTCAGTCTCATAAATCGAAAGAAAGCAACGCCGAAGCAACTGTGTGACGTTGGTTTGACCCGAGTCTCCTGGCCCAAAGCCAGTGGGAGACTCTCAAAATGATGGACCTTTGGTTGGTATCAAAAGGGAAGCCAAAAACCAGACCACTATTTGGGTCTGTCTCTTGTTACCACCCCACAGATGTTTTGTCCTTCCCTTTGGGTTTCCCTCACCAACCCCGTTTTCTTTGCCCAAGACGAGCGTTTTCTTCCCCCATGGGTCCCCCGGCCCTTTGAAGCGCAGCCGGAGCTGACGAAGCACCGCCAAGCAGGAGACGCAGGGCCTCAAACAGCTCCCGTTTCGGGTGTTTGGCTTTGGGTTTTGGCCTTTTGGGTGAATTGACTTGAGTGACTTGAGGTTTCTGGGGCCTTTTTGTTTTTGGAGTCTTTCTTGGCTTTTAGAGCTTTGTGGGGGAGTGTGGATGCCTCGGCTGGACGGTTCTTCCTTTTCCCGGGCTTGCCGGTTTCTGCTTGTAGGGGCTGTCACGACAAAGCCGCCTTGCCAGGATGGCAGCAAAAGCATAGGCTGTTGCTTGGATCTGGCGGACCTGCCGTAGCTGCTCTTGCACTTTGCCACTGGCACCGACCCAATCAGATCTGCGAAAGCCACCCCAGTCGCTTGGATCTGCCAGACCCGCAACAACTGCTCTCGCACCCAGCTGGTGTCGCCGCCACAATGAGGCTCTCCCCACTTGACGACGGAGTCGTCCAGGATGGCAGCAAAAGCACCTCCGTTTGTTGGATCTGCTGCGCTCCAAGCAACTGCTTGCGCACCTCGCTGTTTGCCGCCTCAGATCGCCCCACGTAACGACAGTGCCAGTGCCTCCGCGTGAAGAGCGAAGGCGGCTCTAGCTTCACAGGCTGGACCATCGCATCATGCGGTCCACATCTCTCACGCCCACCTCACTCAACTTGGAGGCTGCATCCAGGCGCTGACCTCCAAAAGCAAGCCTGAAAGCGGCACTTCAGCTGCACCAATATGGCCAACCCTGGCCTGTTGCTCTTCCTTTGATTCCAGTTCAGGCCCTGGTTTCCGAAGCACATGCCGCCTTCCACTCGCCAACACTTGACTTGGGTGCCGACACGGAGCAGGCCTTCCCACTGGGAAGGTATGCAAATCCATCGGGAAGCTTTTGCCGCACTGAAATAGCATGCGAAAACAAACGAAAAGGCCCCGGCCATCCCAGAACATCAGACGGCGCTTTCCTTTGGACCCTACGACAGGACTCCAATCCTCTGCCAATAAGGGCCCTAAACAGGAATCCCATTCCCTTGCTACGTTCTTCGGGAAAAAACAACAACAACTTGTTTTCGAGCGGATCCTCTAAACCAGCTGGCAACCGTAATTCTTCAACTGGCTAAACGTATCTGGCATGACGCCTAAAATGAGATCATTTTTCCAAACATGGACTGCCAATCGTTAACTCAGCGCCGTCGCCCCAAGTCACCACAGAGACATCCTCCGCAATGGCAGCAAACGCAGCCGCGATTGCTTGGATCTGCAGGACCCCACCAAATGCTCTCAGACCCAGGCGCTGTCACTGCCGAAAACAGGATCGCCCCAAGTCAACACAGAGCCATCGCCCAGAATGGCAGCGAAAGCATTCTCAGCTGCTTGCTGCTGAATCCCCAGCAACTCCCGCAAGTGGCTGCTGTCACCGCCAAAGTGAGGATCGCCCCAAGTCAGCCATCGTCCAGTAAGGATGTTAGCAACAGCACCTTCCTTGTTTGCTTGGATCAACCGAACACGCACCAACTGCTTCCGCACCTGGCTGCTGTTGCCGCTTGCGGTCGGATCGCCCGAATTGACTGCAAACCCGTCTTCAAGGACGGCAGCAAAGCTTCATTAGTTGATTGGATCTGCTGGACCCTCACCAGCTGCTCTCGCACCTGGCTGCTGTCGCCGCCTTCTGTCGCATTGCCCCAAGTCACACAGCCATACATCACAACACAGCACCATTCGGCTTTGCACAACTCATCGTTACATGCTAACATGAAATGACAACTCATTTCGGTACTCAAGCCCGGATGATTTACGCTAGGTGTCATGGCATTCTGGGCTGCCGCGCGTGCTGTTGGAGAAGAGTCTCACCTATGCAGAGCGGAGCTTGGTTCCCAAGTATACATCTAGTCATGGGCCGTTTGCCTTGCACGGTCCGGAAAGAAAAACACTCGCAAACTCGAGCTACCACATTATTTTGGCAATTGTCTCCGTCCTCATTCTGATTCAGGGGCATGTCCTGGCCTCATGCTTTCGCCATTCTGACCGTGACCCCCGGAAGACAACAAAACAGCCTGAATGTCAAGCAGCTAGGCTCCGATGTTGATGCGATCCTCATGCTCACATGCTGCGCACGGCAGAATGATGACTGCTCATAAACAAAGGGGCAACAAATCATCACGATGCAGTAGGATTTCTCGATCAAACACAATGCCGATACGTGTTTCTTCATGCCATGCCCTTTGTCTCGGGCATGGTTGGCGAGGCTCGGCAAACAGCAGACCGAACTACGAGACAGTGGATTCCCGAAACTTTGCAAGCCAACCACAAACGGCACGGGGGAATCTCCCTGCTTCTGGCGGAATCAACCGGAGATTCGGGTTAAACGGAATGCCGCCGGACGGGCGGTGCCTCGCCGGTGAGCCCCTCTTGTGCCGAATCCAAGATGACGGCGATGCCAGTGGTCAGCTGAAACCTCGGAGTGCCCTCTGGCCAAGAATTTCGGGGGAACTTCTTTCATATCCTGACAATGAGTGCAAGAGCATTTCATCTGCTCCACAGGTGAAAAAAACTTTCCTGGTCAATCTGGGTCGGCTTGAGTGGATAGGTTCCAAGCAAATTCATTGACGAAGGGCCGGACCACTGGCATGAGTGGCGAGCCGTCATCGTTTCCCAAAAACTGCTATGGGCCATGGCAAAACTGAGAAACCTTTGTTTGCGACTTTGAGACACCGCCGCTCCGAGTGCCGGGCTCTCCACAGAGGTCACGGCCAATGAGACTGTTGATGGGCGTGGGAAAGGCCCGGAGCCTACGAGAGAATGGCCATGGCAGCCATGGAGCCATGGGTGTTTCTCATCGTTTCCCCCCCCCCCCCCCCGTGTGCTGGAGAAACCAACAGAAAACCAAAGGATCCACCCCTGTAAATTATCCCGGCTGGTTTGATAGGGATGGGGAATGAGAAATGGAATGACCCAGGAAAAGATATTGTCTATGGTTTCCTTAAGGGAATCCCCCCACACAGTTCACTCCCAGCGCCCAGAACGGTCATTCCCTGCTGAGCACCAACCAGCAAGGGTTCCCCCTTTTTTGGATGGCTTCAAGCGATCGAACCAAAGGAAACAAACCTGAAACGGTCCCGGGAAACATAGACTGGGAAGCGACGCCCAGCTGATGTATCTGGTCGCATTTTGTGCCAGAGCCAAGGAGACAGAATGGCTGACCAAAAGAAGCCAGGGATCATCTCTCGGGCTTCTGAGCAGCACGAAAACAGTAAGTACCATCCCTCGCCAACACAGCACACAGTGAAACGTAACACATCCACAAAAGCAGCCAGGCTCAAGGCACATTGCCAACATCAAATAACATGCACGCCAAATAAACGCGGTATATCCCTCAAGTAGTGGCAGAATTTGAGTTTGCGCAGCTTCGAACATAGCGGACAAGATACCATATCTTTGCCGGAAGCAACGCCCCCTCTACTTATGCTGGAACCAAGCCGATCTCAAATCAGCTCAGATTTACCCTGATCTCTCAACCTTTGGCATCCTTTGACGACCTCAGCTGCTTGGTCTCTCTGCACAAGTGCAATCTGGGGTTCCAGCCAAGCCGGAGGAGAAGCATGGCCCATGCGGATGCCATTCTCCCGCCTCAGGTGGCTTAGGAGAAGCACAGAATTGCAATGTCGGCATGAAATGATTCGGGAGGTTCTCAACATAGTGGAACCCTGTCGGTTGGCATATCTAAAGGGAAACCAACCGCAAACCAACGTTTTAGGGGATCCCTATTTTGAGAAACACTCAATTTCATGGCTCTTGAAACAGTTTCCGAGATGCTGTGCAGAGCATGCCCTTGACATGCAAAATGAAAGTCAGTTGATGGCAGCCTTCGCCATACCCTTTTTTGAGTTTGCTTCAAAGGAGAACGAAAGGCAAACCACGCGAATTGGAGGTGTTCATTTGGAGACAAAGCTACATGAGGCTACGTGTCAGAATCCGGGGCACGGTTTGAGAGGTTTCAAAGGCCAGTTCGAGGCGCCGTACGTATCGATGTCTATTTGCAGGGCAGAACAACGGAATTTGGGGAAGCCACAACTTGCAGCCCACTTCGACTCAGAACAAGCAACCATCTGTAAGAAAATTGATCACACACACACACGAACAAACATGAGAACAACATACTCACACACACACAGCAAAAAGCACCCAAACTCAACCACACACACACACACACACAAATATGCCCATTGGATGCCCAAAACGGGACCAGCCACCCAAAACACAAGCTAAGCACTATGTATATATATATAGACATTGCACGTACACAAGTCTATTAGCCCCTCAATTGCTTCAATCCCAATCGAAGCAGGGCGCAACAATCCTTGATCGCGTGGCCAAGAAACCTTCGGCACAGCTCGCGCAGGCCTCTTTGGGGTCTCGCTCCAAGGCTCTGGCAGCAGCGTGCCGCGCAAAGGTTGCCCATCTGGCAACTGAACATCCTCGCGCAAGCGGCTGGTCAGCTGGTAAGGTGAGGAGACACAGCCAGAGCACCGGGAACCTGAAGACTTCCAAAATCGGGCAGTGACCAGGTCTATTGCTCTTGCTTTGAATGCTCAACGGTCTTTACCTTCGAGAGGATACTTTTCACTTCGTGGTGTCCAACAAATGCTCCAAGCCTGGTGCACGGATGCACTACATGGATTCCTGGCACCCACGCCACATTGTGGAATGAGCTCTGCCAACATCGCTGAGGATTCTGAATACCTGGAGATGCAACGTGGATACATACCAGTGCTCACTACAAAGAAGCTTTGTACCCGAACTTGCTGTGCAGGGTTGCAGGGCTTGCCGAGCGGTTCGAACACGCCTCACAGCACTCCCAAAGCTATTCCGAGACGGCGATTGGACATGCCCAACCAAATGGGAACCTTGCCTTGTTGGAGAATTCAACGAAGGCGACGACTCTTTGGGAACAAGCCCTTCCAATTGAAATGAAGTGCTAGGCAATCTGCAGGCCTCTATCTAGACCCTTGTCTGGATGGAATGATCTTTGCAGAATCCCCGTTGTCCCGCCACCTTGCGAGCAGTCGACCCAAACACGGTTGTAAAACCATTCGAGTGGCTGACACATGTCATGACAGCTCCTTGACCTGTTTTTCACATGAAGTTTGTTCTCTGAACCACTCGAATTCACAAAAGAATCTGCTGTCGCAAGAAACCTGTTGTTGCACACTTCACAGTGAGTTGACCCCCTGATAACATGCCGACTACAAAGGTCTTTGAACATGATTACCTGGTGTGTTTTCTATGCAAACTACCGAGTTGCCGTGTTGGTGCACGGCCCCTATTCAAGACGGGCTCACGGGGAGCCTACTGACTTTAATCCAGGCCCAGGGCAAGATAGTCCCTTTTCTAAGATCATTTTTTCCACACGCAGCGGACGCACTCATGCCCGCAAAGTCAGTCCCACTCTCCGTAGCACAGCACGCGCTTGTGAGCCAAGCCCCAGAGATCCTTCGGGAGCAGTAGGGGCGGGGGGGAGAATCTTTTACTTCAATGATTGTATTCTGGTTCCACGGCGGCTTTTGTGCAAGACTAGGCTGGCTCCAAGTACTTTCTTTTTGATCCGCCAGGCAGACTGCTGTTGGGCACTTGGTAGGCTGTGCTGTCCAAAGAACCAAGCCTGTCTGTTTGGCGCTACAGCTCCGGGCCGCCCGAGCGAAGTACTGCACGCACACACACACACACAACTGAGCCAAATGGGAACAGCTCAACATGTATGCGACTGCATGCCAACGGACGGGTTTCAAAGGATGGGGGACCGCATGTGGATAGGCGTCAAAGCAGGAAGCCATTTGGACAAAAGCAACCCATGCCTGAAAAAGCTCAGCGGCCCAATGACCACGGTGGAAAAGGGGTTTTTATATTTGGGTTGTTTTTTTTCAGTGGGGAACTCACCAAGCAACAAGAGGAAAAGGGTGCCACTGAAGTGGGTCCAACGTGGGGCGGGCCGCACACAGAAAGCTCCTTCCGCGCGTCGCCCTCGTCCAGCGTCTGTTGAACCCTCCGCAGGGCCTGAGTGTCTAAACGACCAGTTCAGTGCCCTCGCTACCTGGCAAGCTCACAAGCATCCTATCGAATCCTCAACAAGGATGGCTCTCTGTACATCACAGATTCTAGAAGTTCCATGCTAGCTCTGTTGGGTGTAGTGAGGAACACACAGCAAGATCAAGCCCTGCTTCGAAAAAGCTCGACAGGCCATGACACTATGAGAAAGGGGGACGGATTGAAGAGCAAGTGGCTGGCTCACAGGGGTTTATCAGCAATGCCTTTAGTCCCCTTGCTTGCTACTTTCCAAGTGATATCTGTCACCATTCTAGATCATGTAGCAGCGCTCTTAGCATGGTTGCTATGACAAGTTTGTTTTGCACAGAAGGCACGGCAAAGTGTACCAAGAATGGATTCTCTTAAGATGCGCGTGAAATCAAATGGCTTTCCATCTGCAGGCCTTTAGAACTTTTTCAACTGGGCAGGGGGGGGCACCAATGAATACACCTACTTTAAGGATCCACTTTCTGTTTGTCTTGCGTGAAGAATGTGAACTGAGACAAATGAGCAACCATCCGTGTATTCATCATGCCCCATTCTCTGCTGCTGATTTTGTAATTTAAATGTTGCCCGTGGCTCAAATCCACCAGCGCCATCGGCCCCAAAAAGGGGCCCCCGCGCGCTGGAGGAAGTCCTTTCCGGGCTCAGGGATGCCCATCTTGGCCAGCAAGGCTCGCCTCACCGGCCCAACTGACCTTCCAAGAAGGTTCTTGGGTTTTCCTTGGTTTCCCTTCAACCCCGAAAAGGGCACCCATAGAAAAAGAGATAGACTCTACCCACATCTTTGATCCCCTTTCTGACAAAGAAGCCCACGGGATGCGCCATACCACATTTTGGCTCTTGTTTGTCAAACCGACAGGCTATCAGTCAGACCCAGGAACGGCAAATACAGCGTCCCTGCGCACGCGGCGGGTGATTCTACGATAGCTTGCGAATTCAACATGCTTGGATCGGTTTGTCTGTTTGGTCGGCCACACGAGTTGGTAAACACGCATTCAGCCACATTGAGGGCCAGGTGATACGGCGTTTCATTCCGTCCAAGCATGCGAGAAGACATGCCGCACTGAACCTACGTTGATCTGCTCAAATTGGCAATGGATCAGTTTCGGTTCTCAGCCAATGTTCTGAACAGTCGCTTTGGATGGGACAAAATGCTAGATTCGACCAGCTGCCAGTCGACTTTAGACCAAGGCCTTGGAATTCTCACCCCTCGCTTTCCAAGCACTACAAACTGAGGTGCGCCCTTGAGAGGTAAAGAGTCGCTCTCCCTCCACTGAGCTCGTCGCGTGCCGGCGATGCCGAAGTTGTCCACTCCAACCCTTTGAAGGACCTCCAGCCGGCTGGCGGGGTTCCATCCTACAAGAACCAGGAACCCAAAAATGAGGCACCTGCTCCTTTCTTGGACCACTTTGGCATCAGTGAGGCTGATCAGGCCCTTGGGGCAGTCTGTCGAGCAAAACGATTTCTCTCTCTCTCTCTCTCTCTCTCTCTCTCTCTCTCTCTCTCTGAAGAGTATCACCCGAACATGTCCAGAACGGCATTATCCTTCACCACCATTCGCGTCATGCAAATTATCGCCCGATCTCCGCGATGCCGGCTTGACGTCTTTAGAGTGCAAGCTTAACGTCGAACAAATGGACCGACTCGCGCGAGGTGCTTCTTGCAACAACATACGGTGCGAAGACTGGTCACGACGCAAGGACAGCTTTTCCGTCTTTGGCCCCCCGCATGTCCCAAGACTCAGCATGCATCAAACGAAAGCGCCCAACAAATATCACTCACTCCAAAACTTGCACAAACACACACACAAACGTGCGAACACACCAACCCACCAGAAAGCCAGAAAGCCAGCCAGCCAGCCAGCCAGCCAAAACATCGCAGGCACGCACGCAGGCATGCAGGCACGCACGAGCACACAGTTTGACAGAAACACAGAGACACGCAAACACAAAGAGAGCCAGAGAGACGCAAAGAGACAGGGACACTGAGGCACGAAAATACAGAGGCAAAAACAAAAATGCAAACTTACTTTGAGACTCCCTCCCCATGCCCATACCGACCAAAACTCTCGTCAAGCCAAAAAAGACAACCGACAAGGGAGTTTGGGGTGTGCTCCCTCCACCTTGCTCGTGGTAATTTGTTGATGCAGCACACGGCGAGCCCCTCAGCATCAGCAACAATTGACTAAATATTTGCCGCGGCCCCCAGGCCGGGAAGCGGTCAGACCCCTTCAAAACCTTTTTGGATCTTGACCCCCCCCCCCCCCGACCCCATGTCGCGCAGCCAAAATCCCTGCTCCAGCTGCCTCCAGTCCGCCTGAAACCAGTCAAATTCACCTACGCTTGGCCCAAGCTCATTGCCATTCTGTAGATAGCTCTCTGCAGCTCTCGTTCTGGCCCTTGAAGCCATGTGTAAACACGCAAACATGCACCCACCTTCTACCTTGGAAACCCGCTCACACAAACACAAGACTTCAAGGCAAACTAAAACACGGCGTATACCTGCAAGCCAGCCAAAAGCGGACAGGCCGAGGCGGGCAACGCGAAGCGTTTACAATTGATAATCATTTGTGTTGCGTACTTTTACATTTCATTTTCATCAGGATGTGACAGGATGGAAAGGCCAAGCTGCTTCTTTTCGTAGCTTGTTTTTGGAGCTAATCAGCTAATGTCAATCTTGACCCTTTAGCCCGGCACAACTTCACAATCTCAATTGTCAAAGTCAGCCGCCAAACAGGTTGAGGGCAAAGCAACACAATACGTTGACGCACCCCGTCCCACTCCATTGGGAATCCCCGATGGAAGACCATCTTGATGCAGGGGTGTTTCTCTGACGCAGGGGACTGGGTGTGTCGTTCGTGGGGCATCTTTTTTAGGCGTTGCCTCAAAGGAACCCACTCGGGCAAACCATCCATTTGAGCCCAAACTTTGGGCAGCCCCAGAATCTAGGGATCCCAAAACGGGATAACATTTTAAGATCCCAAAACGGGGGGAGCTCAATAAATCTTCGGGGAATTTCGGCCCCGTCTCGCACCCGGTCGACTACCAGGCCCCGCCTCTGAGAAGCCGCTGTTTCGCTCCGCGAGGCGAGGCAGCCCTCCCACAAAGTCTTCCAGGAAGGGCTCCAGCCTAAGGGCGGTCAACACCAAACCCATAGCATCAAGGCAGACAATGGAGGGCGATTGACGGGCACTCAGCGCCTATTCTGCGCTGTAATCATTAAAGATTATTTGTTGCAAATCAGCCTGCAGATTTTTCCTAATGGGGGCACAGTCCTAGTAGGGGCCAATACCCAAAAAACTGGATTTAACCCCATACCATGCTCAGAACCTATAAAAATAGTCTAAACAAAAGAGGATCAGGAAGGATGCCTACAATCTGGTATCAATGCAATTTGGCTTTGATTACTCAACACTACCTACGTTTGGTGTCAAACCTTTACCATGAACAAAACCTATCTTCCTGGGCTACACAAAAGTAAAGCAAAGCCACACTTATTTTTGATTGGGACTGTTTGCTAACCTCTATCTGCCCGGGCTTGAATTGTGGCTCCAAAACTGCTTTAGCTAAAACGGGTCTCTGGTTCTAGCAGATTCCAACTTTTCATGCTTCTTTTCCTCCGTTGATGCTATTACTGATTAATGATCAGCTTTTCCGGTTTGCCGGCAATTTTGCCATCAAATATCACACATTAAGACAAGTAACTTACACGCATCGCTCCATTCACTACAGTTCGGCATGCTTGCCATATCCAGGGAATCCACAGCATACGGCCATGTCGTTGAAGGAAGGGATTCCTTGCTGGATGTTTGTTTTTGCAGAGTGAAACATGGGCAAGCCTGGCAGGGAAACACCCTGGCAGTGTATCAACATGTCGGGCCCGTGAAGTCTTTGTTTACTGTCCATGTCCTGTATGCCAAGAAGGGCCTTCAATTTTCTGTTACATCTCCCACTTTGCAGCCAAACGTCACGAGAAGTCACTAGTTAGGAACCGGCAAGCACAAAGACGCAATCAACACTATTAGGACGCCACAAGGGCATGCCAAACACCTTCTGAGGAAGCCAAAGCGAGAGAGAGAGAGAGAGAGAGAAAGAGAGAAAGAGAGGGGTTCATAGCAAGTCACCTGCCGGTTTTGCCCGACGCATCCCGTCCATCCCGCCTCGCCATGAGTTGGGGCGCACAGGTCTCCACGGAGTCCGAGAGGTTCGCGAGCGCCTGGGCGTCCAAGGAGGCCATCCTCCGCTGCACCTCCGCCTCCAAAGCGGACCTGGCGGCTGAGCCCTTCTCCCAGGGCCCCTCATGCAGAAGAGATATGGCCATGGGCTTTGCAAAATCCAAATCGGTTAGCCCCAAGCGAAGATTCCAATCCCCACAAACGAAAATAGGTCCTAAAATGGGTGGTGAATTCACCTACCCCAAAATGGTACCATTGGTTTTGACCCACAGCCATATCCTTTGACAAGGACCTGCAAAGTAAACCCTGCAATCTACTGGCAATCGGTTTTGGATGGCCATGCCTTCTCAGTGCTCGCAAATGATAAGCTGATCACAGCGAATGCAAGAACCGAAAACATGCCGCCGCTCTTCGTTTAGATGATTCTGCACTTCAGTACAAACACGCATGTGAAAACAAATCCATTTCATGACAGAACCGTTTCTTGTTTTGAGCTGAATGATTAGCCAGTTCAACGCCTTGTAACAATAATGCTGCTAGTCGAAGCTACCGCGCACATCTTTGAGTAACATTGAATGGCATCAAACATGCATGCGCGACACGTCAACCGCGCGGAAGCTGTCAATCAGCATTGAAAGTGGATCCAAGGAATCATATACACACCAGCCGAACGTGACTTGTCCAACTATGTTGGCATATTTGCGCTTTCCAAGGCAGAACCGTACCGGCAACATCTCCTGCCTCAAGTCTGTACTCATCTCTGTTAGCTTGGCGAAGGCCCAAGCACTGTTGGACATCTCCTGGTTCCTAAGTTGCAGCGGGTCCTGTTGAAAATGACCTTTGGGGTCACTGCCATCAAAGCGGAATTGCTTGAGGCACTCAGGTTGGACAAAACAAGAGAACTGGGATGTGGCTTTGGCCATGTTGGTGTTGGGTCGCACCGCGTTGGCGCTGAGCAACTCCTTGCTGCTTGCTAAGTTGCCATGTGGCTGCTAGAAGCTTCCATCCAGTTTGACCACTACCCCAACTCCAATCCTGGAAGCTGACGATCGGAGGGGTTTGGAAGACATTTTTCCTGTTGGGGACCCCTCTATCCACTTCCAAGATTGTTCAAAAGAGTGTAAGAATTCACGTGGGATGAGCAAATTCATGTTGGACTTTGATTCAGAAGAGCCCAACCCAAATACAGCTCACATGAGATTCACGCAACGATGAACACACACACACATACACACACACACCCAGAGGCTGGATAGGCGACTTGCTGCCATATCGATTAGCATGGAACCCAACAAAGGGGTCTCCCCAAAATAACTTACCTGGTTCTGTTTGGGTGCCATGTGGATCTGTGGGAGGGTATTGCGGTCACCATGGCCTTGTGTGAGATTCCACGGCCCAAGGCAGGGTATCACGTTCTCAATGGGATCTTGTGACCTTGGCATTTGACTTTTCTCTTGCATTCTTGAAACCTGCCCAAATCAAAATCTCTAGGCCAATATTCAATATTAATCGGATTCAACCAAGACACTTCTGCCAAGAATATGTGGGAACCCCACCACCTAACACGAAACCATTCATGACGTTGTTGGACATGACGGCACTCATGACAAGCAAGACTCACTCATTTAACTTATAATTATCCAAAGAGCATGTTGTAGACATTCATGCACTATCGACTGCGCCTGGGACTAGACAACTTGTGCTTTACGAAGATATCAGCTCGATCTGTCAAACCGTCACTACTTTCGTGATCTTTCCGCAGTTGGTGAACACTCATGAGAGCAAACGAATCGCAGGCTGCTCAAGATCTTGTTGAGGTTGTTGTCCGATACTTCGCCTGATTACTATTTTGCATTTAGGATGCAACAGCCAACCAATCATAATATGGTGGTTCATTCTGCTGCATCCCTTCCTGGCATGACTCACTTGTCCAACAATCGCGGGAATGAACAAAGAACTATCGGACATCAAGCTTTGCTTTTGGACGACTTGACTTCAGTCATAGGCCTAAACTTCCTAGGTCAGCTGCGGCATTTGGCAACAGCTGGGGGTTTAGGTTTGGGGCTTGTACAAGTTGGGGAACGGGAACTCTGTCGGAGCTCTTGTGGACCCCAAAACTTTGGCGCGCAGGAGTTTGTGCTTGTCTCGAGTCCTTCCTGAGGCCGACAAATGGATTGGCCGCCAACTAGCACCAACAAGGACTCGGTGAGCCACTTGGACAGACCAGGTGGCTGTTTGGACCTTGGCATATTGGTAGACAATAGGTGCCAGCACGCTCTTCCACCGAAACGGGTATTAGCTCACCTCTTGGGCACACACTCGTACACGAGCAACCAGAAGCACACCGTTTGTGTGGTGTTTGTTGAGACAGCAAAGTGCCTCAGAAACCATTCGGAGCTCCCGAGCACATGGAACATTGTTTGACACCCAAACGCTCCTTCTTGCTCCATGCAACCAGCAACCCGGTTGCAAACATCACACAGGCAGTTTTGAGTGCCAGCATCGACTGGCAGGACAAGATACTAGATGCACAGCAGTCAGATTCATACGGGACACTATGGTGGACATCATAGCCATATGGGTGCAAGTCAAAATGGACTCTGCCAAAATGTATTTCGGTTTTCCTTGTGGTTTATTCTAAGCCTGAAAAGGCCACCCTCCAAAAAAAACAGATACATAGTGCCAAGCCATATCTTTGCACTTGCGCAACCCCATAAAAACTCTTGCCAAGCCCCAAGCACCCCCAAACCTGACAGAAAGACATCGGCAGAAAAGCTCGCGCCAGGCCGCAGGAAGTTGGGGAGTTTCCTCGCGGACTCCTGCGACAGAGCCTTCAGCAGCAGCACCCGGCGCTCCATCAGAGTGGCCAAGGCCCAGGCGCTGTTGGCCAGGTCCTGCGGCGCTCTCTAGGTCCATTGGATTTGCGGCGTGGGTCGCTCACTTGGAAATAAATCTATGGATTCAAATGGATTTCAACCAAACCCAGGGATTCAAACTTTCTTTGGAGAATCCCAAACCTCAGATTCAAATATGTTCCATCTTGAAAGGCAAGGGCGATTTCTTTGAAACATGAAACGCTGGGTGATGCAAACGGAGAGGACACCGAACCACGTTCTACTCTCCTTAGATCGCAACCCAATGAACCAAAGGCCAAAAGGAGGGTCCGACACCAAGTGTGCGATTTTGGGAGATACTCGGATGCGGGCCACTATCCAGAACGTGCTTGCCGTCAACAGCAACAGCATACTCTCGCCTCACAGTGTTCGCAAGCCGAAGACATCAATCAGCACTACCATCTGCTCCTTCACTCAGGCAATTGTGCCCCACTTCTCCCCAGTTGCCTGTCAAGCCAACTACAGCACCCATGTCCAAAATAAGGCAGCAGAACACCCAACACAAAGACCTGGTTTGATAAGATCAGCTCAACTGCACTTGTATGAAAGCGCACGACAAAAGCCCCAAACATCCCAACCGTGGCTGCCAAGCAACACCAAAAACACCTCATAGTGTCTGTCAAACTTGGGACTTGCCAAGTCAACATCCTCTTGGTTTACCTTCAACTTTCAATAGAGGGCTCCACATTTTGAAGCCTGACCGGCCCAAGGCCAGGCTGAACCCAACACTAAGCTGACCAAACAAAGCTCGACCAGACAAACCCACCCATCCATATGGGCCATCAATCACCCAACCAAATCCAACTAATCCCGCCCGCATTTGCACCCTCTCTCCCGCCCGCCCAAAGCAAGCAACCCGCAAGCGCCACTTTCACTTCGGCTGCTCCTGCGTCACAAACTCCGTCACGATCTTCACCGCCTGTCCACCCAGCGCCCGCAGGAACTCTTCATCCACAAAGCCGATCTTGGCACAAGACCAGGACAGATTGGCCAGCTCCTCACGCTGCCGCATGCCCCACGTGTTTTGGGTCTTTGGCAGTCGCCCATGTCTTCAAGGGTGGAGGCTGGCAAGAAAATCCCAACCAGCGAGGTGTCAAATTGAGAATCAGCATCAGAGTCATACAAGGATCGTTATCAATGTGCATGGAATCATCAACAGCAGGGCATGCTGAGCTGTACCATCAAAACAAGATCCCACTGTCTTCTTTGTCAAGAACTGTCAAGGGTATTCACGGTCAAGCCATTTTTGCATCACCCACATTTTCGCTTTTTGAGGTGGGTGTCTTTTTTGGGAACCCCCCTTTTGGTTGGTTTTAAGTGCGTACCAAAACAAACATCCCCTCTTTTCTTGTGGGGGGATCCCCTAAACTATATTTACCTTGTGTAAGTGTCTTACGGTGTCTGGGGTCTATGCTGCACGCCCGTGGCAGCTTCACCGGGCCTATGGACCCATTGGATTTGCCACAGGATCTGTGCAAAGTGAAGGGTTGCGGCAGAGTCCCAGGGGACTTGGTGGACGTTTTCCCTGAAGGTTTACAGGACACCGGTGGCCGATGGCTCCACATGTGATTCACTGCATTCTGCCAAGAAGACAGGTCTTGTATTTCATATTTCATAAAACACACATGTCCCAACAGCTACTATATTCTCAGCATGATGCCGTGACCACACGCTCGGATGCTCGAAGTGGCCGATGGGAAGTCAGCTCCAATGTTACAACTTACCAACAAAGGAGGTATAATCAATTAATTTTGGTTGATGAACACATGTTTCAGGCGATCATTTGTCAACACTGCAGGCGTGCATGTGACCTAAAAAGAATGTGCAGAAACCCACATAGTCGGGTTGGAGCAGCTAATTGTAGCGGGAAGATGAGTGGTTTGACATTTCTATGATATGCCGTTTGGCTGAAGTTTTGACGATGCAAGAGTACGAGAATACGTTTGGCATGGATTCCGATTGAATCAACCAATCAGAAGTTTCTGTGAACACTGAATCCATAATTCAGACATGATGTAAACGATGCTGCAGCACTGTTCCACCCACTGCTTTACACCCGAGACTGCAGTTAAACCCTGAGAGCATTCTTGCTGGTGCCAGCTGCAACAATCGGTCAACCTCTACGACTGGCTCAGCATGAGTGCATTTTTTGTTGGTATTGATGGGCTTGAGTATGTGGTCAAACTGCCAGGAAGCAGCACTTTAGGAAATGACAGTCCTTGAGCCAAAACTGCAGAAGGGGGGGAGGGGTTAAGCTGCCAGCTCAGTCGTGAATTGAGGATCTCAGGCGCCTCCGGACACATGCCCTTTTTGTTTGCAATGTGCGTTGGCTGTTCGACACCCCATCCTCTGACTAACTCGTCAGTAGGGCGATACGGCTAATGTATAGCAGCTTGACTATTGTTGAAATGTTCATTGGCATGTTCTGTGAACACTGCCACCAAAGAAATCCTAGCACGCAGGACGGAAAGTCTGAATGTAATTGAAACTCATTCAAAGTACAAGAGACTTTGACATTTTGGCCTATCTCAGGCTTCAACGACATTCCGAGAGCGAGTCTCAGGTCTCACCAGCGTCCATGGCATTGGCATCGCTGGCATGGCTCTCCTTGCCTTGATTCATTTTCAACAGCGCTTTGATCTCTTGCGTTGCAGTGAGGAGGGCTGGGAGCGACTCGGATGCCTCGCCTTCATGCCACCATTGCTCATCGCCGGCTCCGGCTTCAGCGTGATCTGGGTACTCGCTGGCACCGTTCCAATCATCGCAAGCTCCAACCTCACAGTACTCGTTCCATGTGCCATACTCCTCCCACTCCTCCCACTCGCCGGCATGGGGTTCTTCCCACTGCGACTGACAAGAAGGATCTTCTGGATGATGCCACTCACTGGCACCATTCCAATCATTATATGCACCGACTTCACAGTATTCGTTCCATTCACCATAGTCTTCGCATTCCTCCTCGGCATCATCATCTGCATCCGCTTCAATGAGTTGGCTCCATGCACATTCATCACAAGCTCGACGACCACATGTGCATGCATATTTTAAGGCACAAGCAGCTTTGAGCTCTTCACAAATGCTGCAATTCCACTTCTCCTTGCCATCTTCGAGGTTCATGGTCAGACCACATTTGCACACTGGACGCTCATCATCATCACCACTGATTGACATGTCTGCGCTTGACGTTGGTCCGGGTGGCACGCAGCAAGCGGATGACGATGGACTCTACGTGCTTGTGCCAAAATGTGCTTTCGGACGACCCGCTGGGGTTCCTCCAGTGGGCAAGCATGGATTGGAACTTGCAACTTTTAGTTGATCTTGTCATAGGCTTTTGGTTGGCAAGTAAGGCACCTATAATTCGCACATGCTTCAGTTGGTCAAAGCACCTTCCTGAATATGAAAGGCAAGATCGACAAAACACAAAAACACGCATCTTCCGAAGAGACTTGAACCCAAAACCCGCAGAATGGTAGATTTTACATCCCAAAATGCGGGGATAGCCCGGTTGCGTTTCACTCCTGAGGGATCAGCTGCGAGGTGCTCTGCAGCACGGCAGCGCCTCGGATCAAACGAAACCGAAACGCAGCCTTCATGGGCGGGGAGGCGGGCTGGGTGAGGACAGGTTTGGCAAGGGAAACATGTAAAGGGCTCCGCAAAATTTTACCCTTTCGGATGTGGCACCTTCAATTTCTTTGCAGGGTCCAGGGTGCCGAACCCCAAGCAACTGAGGTTGCCATGGGCGGGGGGCTGTGGTTGCCGTCATTTTAAAAGGACACCCTTACCCTTGCCATGGTGGTCTCAACTCCCTGCCGAAGGAACTCCTGAAGAAACGGCCATGAGCCGTGTCTCACGACTCCATTGGCACCAAGAAAAATCCTTCTCAAGGCAAGGTCATGGACATTTCTGAGGCTCGTCACAAAGAAGTCCTCACGGCAGTCAAGGACTGATGCAAGGGTTAATGCCGACCTCGCTGACACCAAGCAATGTACGTAAATGTTCTCATCGTGGCGGAGCTTGCACAGTCATCTTAAGATCTGGGGTGAGACGGGAAAATGAGGCAAGCAATGAAGCGCCCAAAAAAGAGGCCAGCCACACAGTTCTCACGTCATGCCCAGAGCATCGCCCTGTCCAGCTCACAAAAGGCTCGAAACGTGCCGGCGAACCCGAACCTCTCCGTCTCCAAGGCGCAAATGGCATCCATGAGCTGCTTGCTGCGGAGGCCCAACACGGCAAAGGCCCACGCAGTGTTGGTCGAGTTCTGGGTGGCAAACGACCCCATCTTGCCTCAAACGCGTGGCAGAACTGAAAGGAAACCTCACAAGTGATGGCGTTCATATCCGAGTCACCCCATAGATAAGCTAGAGCCTCTCTTTGAAAAGCTGCATCACTGACAACACTCTGTTCTTGAGCCCGTGTCTTTGAATGCTCAACTGGAGATCACTGAGGCCCGATACAATCGCAGCAGGGGTGGCCAGCCGATGAGCTAGCCAGGACTGAGAGCTTTTTGGCACAAGATGGGTCAGTCTTTTGTTGAGCTGCCGGGAACAACCCCATACCAATGGCACCTGGGAGAAACTTTGAAGACTTCTCCACAATGCAAACAGAGGCCTGTAGCACTTGCATTTTACTACGTACTGGCCAAGATGCATAGCCTGTCATCAGCAAGGTGTAGTGAGCCACTTGAACAGGCGACCAAATACAAAAAACACACCATGCCAAATGTGACATGAAGCAGCAATGCCAACAGTGGCTGAAACGAGCTCAGTTGCTGGAGCATATCATATCCTTTTTTGCTGGCTGTATGGAGCAGCAAAAGCTTATCATGAAGTGGCCGGTTCTTGCATGGATGATGCCAAAGGATGTTTTGACTATGTATGAGCCGGGAAACTCTGCCAGCCTTCTTGGGGAACTACATGGACCTGTCTCAAAAAACGGGTTCCCCCCACCCCCTCACCAGACCCAAGCTGCTGATGCACATGGCGGAGATGGCATCGCAGAGCGTCTTGTCGATGAAGAGCAGCCGAGCAAAGGCCCAAACGCTGTTGGCCAGCTCCTGACGGTGGCAGTCAGGCAGTCAGCATGTGGACCCATTGGGCTTACCTCAGAACGCGACTCAAGGCTTGAGGCTCAAAATACGACGACACAGAATAAGAACAGCTAGTAGCTTGATGAGGCTCCAAAATTGTGGCCAGTCTTGAGCTCACGTTCAACATGGAATCCTGAGGCCCTTTTGCTCGTTTCAATGGTGCCCAGCCGCTTGCGGCCAAGAGAGATTGAGGGGGCACTGGGCCAGGATGTCTCCAGCCAAGACGAACAGACTTCATTCTCTAATGCTTTGTTTCCATCCCGAGGGTTTAAACATGGGCCCGAACTGGCCAGCTCCGAGCTCAGCATAGGCAAATCATTGATAGTCTATTCGATTTGATACGTCCTTTTCGGGCACATGTTTTGGGGCTAGCCTTTTTGTCGGATAACTTTAATCAGGTCAGCTTAAACACATCAGTGACCCCCAAGAAAGGATGCCATGACATGCTCAGAAGTTGACCCTGGGTCCTGCGCATCGAAGGTGTGCAAACACCGGGAGGAGGCTTCCGCAATGGCACATATCAGAGGTCCAGGTTGGATCAGCAGCGTGCCGAAACACCACGCCAGGTTTGACAGGGACTGCGCGTCGCATTGTCCGATCTTGGACCTCACAATGCGGCCCTCTCACGTTGAATCCAACACTATCGTGCTCTCACCGATATGAACGCTGCCCCACTTGTGCCGTATCCGTTTGGTAACTTTTACTGGACTTAGGTAATATGGTATGACCGTGCTGCCAACACATCTTATACAATCATCAGTGAGCCTTCTATTGAAGGTAAAAGTTGAGGGCATGCTTGACAATGCTTGTGCACAAATAACTTGGTGCATCTAGCGCACGTGCACAATTGTCTTCCCCGATTCCAGTTTGTTAGATGCGATCTGCATGACATTTGCAGCATTCCATCACTCCTTTGTTTGCTTACCTGGAGCAGCAGAAGGGAGACGGGCGGCTGAGGTCAATCTCTTCCCATTTTGGCTGAAGATTGACAGTGCGGTGATGACGCCAATTTGAATCATAGTCAAGGTCTCGCTCCTATCCCCTCCAATAGCAGGGTCTTCTTCAAATTCTGCATACCCTTTACCGAGTTTGATTGTTGCTGACATCAAGTACCTCTTGCTCAACTAAACTCATTCCTCACCTTCAGTGAAGAATAGCAGGTGGGGACAACATGTATGCTGTTGGCTAAACTAAGCAATGATCATCCATGGCGAAAAGAGAAATTGTGCGTGCGCAGCCTCGCGATACTTGTTCTGTGTTTGTCAGATTTCAAACAATAATCACTGAAGCTGGGACACTCAACGGCCCCACCAAGGTTTACCGTCCCACCAAGCGGCATGGCGATGTCTCTGATGGTACTGAAGACCGCCTTGTAGGGTGCGCGAAAAAAAACAAAGGTGTCCTTCAGCCAGCAATTCAGGGTGCCAGTTGGCTGTTTGAACCTGGCTGAAAGACAGCAATCGCCAAATTTTGTCTTCCAGGGAAAGGCCTAGCAAACAAGACAACATGACCCGAAAAAAGAAGAGAACCACGACCATCGCGACTCGGGCTTCCACCCATCTCCACGGCCCCTTTCCGACCAACCCGAGCCGCTGGAGGTGCCCGCCTCACTTTCGTGCGCCACTTTGGCGAAGGCCCAGGCGAAGCTGGAGAGCTCCTTGGGGATGGCCTCCCAAAGCTTGGCCTCGATGGCGGCTTGCACCCGTCTGAGCCGGTCCGGGTAGGGGCTTGGCACAGGATGGGCTAAACAAATCAGACGAAGCATGGTTTGAGCGGGAAACGGAGATTGCAATCTCTTCCAATCAAGGTGGATCAGAGGATGGCCATTCAATGATTAGCCGTCTGTGCTCTTCCATGGTGCTTGGAAAGGCGGTAAGCGGTCAAAGCAGCCCCTGATCTCCTAGCCACCAAATAAGAACACCCCTCATGGCCAAGCAGAAAGCAGAAGTCCCATGGTCAACGTTCCAGGGGTATGGCCGTGGTACTGTGGGTCCCCTGAACATGGCACGCCTGTGTTGCACGATCTTGAGTGTGCCAGTACAAACCACCCCTACAATGGCACGTTGAGAATTTTGACTCCAGCTCAGTTTTGGCAACAGTCAACTGGCAGTCCTTCAACTTGCCCTTTGGCACCCTTCTGCTAAACACGCAGGGTGTGGGCCAGGTGGGAGCCAGCAGTCCAATTTCTGAGTGAGCAAGCTTCCTGAGACGCGCAGTCTTCCATCTCTGCTATTGCTTAAATGCCTCTATCTGCTGCTGATTGCTCGGCCATTCTTATTGCATCTTACCCACTCCTGAAAAAAACCCGGTCGCTCCACGGAAGCTCCGCTTTCGGCCGTGGCGCCACCTGAGAGGCTGCGGCACTCATCAAGTGGTCGTCCTTCAGCAGGAGCTTCGCGAAGGCCCAGCTGGTGTTGGCCAAATTCTGCGGGGCGAAGGACTCCACTTTCGCCACCTGAGAAAGAACTGCACTCGCTCCGAACGACGTTTGGGGAATTTGGGCTTGACCTTGTGGGGTTGCGGAAGATAGGTGAAAAATGGGACACCCAAAGGTCAAGAGGTCAGCTCTGGAGATGAGAACTGAGTTTAAAGCTCCCTTGTATAGCGCATCCTCGTGGCAGATACTCCAGCCCTCGCTTTCGAGGGGTCCGTCCTGAACAAATGCCTTGGCCAAAGGCCCCCTGTGCTGTTTTGCGATGGGCCAGTACCTCTTGCTTGTTCTGTTCAGTGGATTCCAGCTGCAGTAGCAATATGTTTCTGCCAATCGTGGTCTCGTGCAGCAAAACAGAGACAACGCATGGACAGGGAGCGACGGTTCAATACGGCCTCGGCCGAGGCACACCAACACTCACCCCCCCCACCCCCCCACGCGCCCGCCCGCCTGCCCGCCCACTCACACAAACACATCCACACACACACACATTCCAGAAGTCAACATGTGCCGCAATCCAAGCCGTTTTCGCAAGGATCTCTTGTGCCTTGCCAATCACCAAGTTCTCCATGCCATGATTTCAGGCCTAGCCACACCAGTTGCAGTCCACTTCAAGAGTCATACAACGATGACAGGTTGTTTTCCTCGACTCATCATTTACTTCGTGGTCACCCGACAAAGGTACTCCATCTATGCTGTTCTCTTTCTCTTTAGTAGAGATGTCTGCAAATGTCACATTGAAAACACACCTAGTCTGTTTCAACCAACGCTCGGCCCAGCATCCTCAAAGGGAGCGGGGCCTAGATCAAAACTGGTTTAAAAGAGTTCAAGCGATGGAATGATTGAAAAACCTGGGCTGGCATTTTGGGCTTTTTTGGGTTGGTTTGGTTGGTGTCTTGGACTGGACTGGATTGGACTTATGGGGGATGGTTGCCCTTGTCAACCGCAAGTTTGCATGCCGAGCGTGCATTGCATTCTTCGCAAGTCGAGGCAACCGTTGTGGCAGACTTCGGCGAAACGGCTAATCCGTCTTCGCGTCTCGCCGAACTTGGCCGAGCCGCGCACTGGGCAGAGATCGCCTCCATGAGCCGCGGCTTCTGCAGCACCAGCTTGGCGCAGGACCTCAATGCCCAAGCTGTGAGCCTCCCGACTTGGGCTACACAACCCATTTGCGGTGACCAGCCTTACCTTTTGGAATTTTATGAGACTCTCCAAGGCACAACTTGAACGACACGTCGTTGGATCCAGTTGCCGCCCCTGCCCAATCTTCCTTTTGGGCCAGGCAAAAGACTTGCCATTTAGACTGTTTAGATCCAGTGACGTTTCCAATGAAGCTTTCTGTTCCGTGCCACGCACATTTTGTTGAAACTGCGGGCTCAATTGAACAGCCGCTGTTCAGCGCATTTCAGGGCTGTCAAATTAAAATGCCTTTCGAGGGATAAGCTTTCAATGGAAACACAAACAAGAGTTGCTGGTGCCGAGAATGGCTGACGTTGATCCCTTTGACAAAAGACCGCACTTGGTGGACATATTTAGCACATCAATGGATCGGGGAAAGGAGTTTGCAAGTTTGCATGCTACCATTGTCCCTTGGGTGTACAGGCTTTGGCCGGTCCCAGCTAGGTCCGATATTTGCGTAGCAATAGAGGCTGTGCACACCCAAGTAACACCCGATGGCCATGCTGGGCCGCAAATATGGCTGGTTTCCGGCAGCCAATGACAGACCTCCACATGGATACGTCCCCTGAACAAATAAAAATATGTCCAGTAGTGATGTTAACTATGGTTTCCTTTTAACACCGACAGGGGGGGAAATAAAACATGTTCCATCCATCAAATGGAAGCAGGTCAAGAGTACAAACGGATCCACTTTGTGTCTAGATCCTCCAGTAGAGGGGTTAGAATAAGGGTACTCTTTTTTCTGTGGTCTATTTTAGTAGGGGAACCCTCCCAACCAAAAAAGGGTACAAGGGCACTACTGGGGGACCTAGTTCTTGTTGCCTAAGGGAACATCCCAATCCCCACTAAAATAGGCTAAAATGGGTGGTGCACCTACCCTAAATGGTCCCAGTGGTTTTTGACCACCACAGCCAAATGGATCCACTTCGTGCTCGAAAACCGAAGCAAGTCGAGGCCCCGGCCAAGCCGTCGCCGACAAGCTCTGGGACCCGAAGGCCGAGATCTTGGCCACACACGCCTCAGCCATGGCCTCGAAGAGCGTCGCGTGGGGAAGGGACAGGGCGGCAAAGGCCCAGAGCGTGTTGGAGAGATGGACAACCTTAGCAAACTCCCAACTCAAAGTCTGCTGGTCTGCTTCAGCTCTTTTCGTTTCCTTCCTTTTGATTGCTTTTCCTTGCTTTCTCTCTCTCTCTCTCTCTCTTTTGTGCTTGTGCGTCTCCATCTCTCTCTCTCTCTCGCCTTGTAGCTATGAAGAAGCAGAAATGCCTGGCGGCCCTTGAGGCCTCTCTCTCAAGACTACCCTGAGATAGAGGCATCTTTTGGAATGTTTCACGGAGCACAATTTTCGGTGCTGATGGTTCAGACCCCTTTTTTCCTACTCGTTTTTTGGTTGACCACAAGGAGTGCCTGTCAAACCTGTTGCTTGTCACTGTTTGTCAAACTAATGCATGACAGACTCTCTAAACAAGTTGCAGATGTCGAATCCACTTTGCAAATCCGAGCTTTAAAACATACCAGGAACAAAGCTGGAAGAAGACGACAAAGTAGAAGCAGAAGGAGAATAAGACGATGAACAATAGATAGCATGTGCAGTCTGACTAGGTTGAATTGTAGGAATTCTATGAACTAGTTTGGGCAACAATAACAGGACAGTCAAGATAAGCAACGCTATTGGGCTAAGGAAGGCAAGCTGGCAAGCTGTGTAGGGGCATAAGTCATCAACTGATGTTACTCGAAATGTGTGGGTCATAGCCAAAACAAATGTGATTTCGCGCGCACGTGCGCTTGTCTTTTTGCAAACACGGGAAGAATTAAGGTCCATACAGGCCAGTAAAACCATATCTAAAGGCATACTACAAACCACATTCTTCCCCGCCAACACACTCTTCCTGCCTTTTGTCTTTTGTTCAGCCTTAACTCTTCCTCTTCTTCCTCTTCCCTATTCCTTCAACCCTACAATTCACACAATGAACGCTATACTAGTTAGTTACTTTACACCTCCAATCTGGTTCTTCTTCTCCTACTTTTTCTTCTTTCGCTTCAAATCATTGGCTTATGTAGTTCCTATCATTCAAGCTATAGGATCTGTTGACCCTAACACTACTTGTATAGCTTCTGCAACTACACTTTCATCTTCCTTCCAGGCTTGAGGTCTGTCCAATCGCCTCTCGCTGAGGAACTAAAAAGCTGGGCAAAGCCTTGTGGGCTGCATCCGCAAGGCCCTCGCAAAGGCTCTTGTCCGCCATGACCAGCATGCCAAGCGCCCAGGAGCTGTTTGCAATCTCCTCAATTCATTGCGACTTGTGCGACCATCCGTTGCGACTTGTGCTGAGTTAAGACCATGCGTTGCACCAAACACAAAACACATGCAAGCGCCAAACACAACCAACACACATGCAACATGTGAGAGAGGCTGAAGCATGACTGTATTACGAATACCTGCGCGATGCATGCTGTGGGCCGTATGATGTGAGGGTCGTCTCAAGGGGAAGCACCCATGTCAATATGCCACTCATGTATCTGATTCAGACCAGAACATGTTGGAAGAGGTCAAGCCTAAGCAATGCACAGTGATTCATTATTGCCAAAAGTTTGCCCCCCCCCCAAAAAAAAAAAAACACAGCAAAATGTTTGTTTGCTTGACCAGCAAGGGCGCCCCGAGCAGGGAGAGCACGCCATGATTCTCAACAGGCAGAAATCAACTCACAGCAACCATAGATATGGAATTCGGAGCTGATTATTGAACATTCACGTGGGTTTGTTTCTGTATGCCGGACAGGCGGCATTTGGTTTCGCGACAGAAACATGGCGCTCCAACCTTTTACAACATCCATACTGACTCAGAGCCCACCCCGCCAGGGGAGCCATGTGAAGCTCATGGTGATGGCGGCTCCTGTGGGCCGAACTGAGCCATCCTCGCCTGGGCCGCCTGTGAGACGGCCCCCAAAAAGTTCCAATCCCGCATCGCCAGGCGCGCGAAGCACCGCGCCATGCCTTGGGGCTAAAGGATGAAGGCTGGGGACCTCGAAAATGGTGTCGACATGGTGGCTCAAGGGGATCCCCCAACATATGTGCAGGATTTCTGAACATCAGGTAAGAACACGTCAAAAACTATAGTACATCACAGGCAATCCATTGTAGCACTTTGAACTTGAAGCTATGCGTGTGCAGTCATGAACAAAAGTAAACACATGCAAGAACACACGCGCTTGCCAGCACGCACGCACGCACGCAAGCACGCACGCACGCACGCCCGCCCGCCCGCCCGCCCGCCCGCCCGCCCGCCCGCCCGCACGCACGCACGCACGCACGCACGCACGCACGCACGCACGCACGCACGCACGCACGCACGCACGCACGCACGCACGCACGCACGCACGCACGCACGCACGCACGCACGCACGCACCCACACGCACCCACACGCACCCACACGCACCCACACGCACCCACACGCACACACGCAACCACACGCACCCACACACACACACACACACACACACACACACAACACACACACACACACACACACACACACACACACACACACACACACACACACACACACACACACACACACACACACACACACACACACACACACACACACACACACACACACACACACACACACACACACACACACACACACACACACACACACACACACACGCACACGCACACGCACACGCACACGCACACACGCATACAACCACAAACACACACACACACATGCGCACAAGCACATGTATGAAGGTATGTTCCTGTATGCATGAATGTAATTGAATGTAGGTCGGTAGGAAGGAAGGACGGAACCGTAGTTCGCATGTATGTATCTATCTACGTACCACTCGCATATGCAGCATGCCATTCCATTACTTGGCCGATGCGTATATTATACTATGTTCTATTGCATTATATCGATATTAACATATTTTCATGTTCATATTATGTGTTCATATGTTACACTATGCTATATTCTATCAAATTATATTACTATATTACTTGTATAGAGAGGTTGCCAGCAACCAATTGGCGCAAAGCCGGCTCTTGCCTGCCAAAAACCAAGGCGGACACACGCGCACACACACACAACTGGCTGGTGAAAGGACGCCTGGGTCAACCATTACAGCACTGAATATTCCGTGCAGGCAAAGCGTGCTTGCCAATCCATTTCATAGTCTTCACAGATCAACGCCTCGCGCCTTTTGGCCTTTTGTCCAGGTGCTGGACAGCGTCTGCGCCTGCGCCTCCCCGATCTGCGCCTGAATCTTTTGGCCAAGCGCTGTGACCAGCTGAGGGCTGTGGACCAGCAGTTTGCCGAAGCACCAGGCGATGTTGGAGGCGTGCTGCTGTGTGTACTCCTCGCCGCTTAGAGGGTCCATGGCAAATAGCAGGGTCAAACGGTGCCAGTACACAAAAAGGAAAGGCGCATGGTCTTCAACCCGTACTCACATTACATCGACATCACGTCTCTCTCTCACTCGCTCTCTCTCTCTTTTGTCTTTCTTTGCTTTTTTTCATCCTTCTTTCTTTCTTTCTTTCTTTCTTTCTTTCTTTCTTTCTTTCTTTCTTTCTTTCTTTCTTTCTCTCTCTCTCTCTATCTCAAACTCTCCGTCTCGCTCGCTCGCTCTCTCTCTCTCTCTCTCTCTCTCTCTCTCTCTCTCTCTCTCTCTCTCTCTCTCTCTCTCTCTCTCTCTCTGCCTCAAGATATGTATGCACACACCACATATATATATACACTTGTATGTATGTATGTATGTACGTACGTACGTACGTACGCACGTATGTATGTATGTGTGTGTATGTGTGTATGTCTGTCTGTCTGTCTGTCTGTCTGTCTGTCTGTCTGTACGTATGTACGTATGTACGTGTGTACGTAATGTGTGTGTGTGTGTGTGTGTGTGTGTGTGTGTGTGTGTGTGCGTGCGTGCGTGCGTGCGTGGGTGTGGGTGTGGGTGTGTGTGTGTGTGTGTGTGTGTGTGTGTGTGTGTGTGTGTGTGTGTGTGTGTGTGTGTGTGTGTGTCTGTGTCTGTGTCTGTGTGTGTGTCTGTGTCTGTGTCTGTGTCTGTGTCTGTGTCTGTGTCTGTGTCTGTGTCTGTGTCTGAGTCTGTGTCTGTGTCTGTGTCTGTGTCTGTCGTACGCATGTATGTATAACATACGTGATTGTATGCAAGTAGGCATACATGCATGCAAACATAAAGGGTCACAATAGCATTATGTTCTGCATACACAACATGGCTATTGCTTGATGTTTGGGCACTGCTTCACTTCATGGGTATGAGAGTTTGCTTTTCCAAGTGCAAGGTAAAATGAAGAAGTCATATTGGCGCGTGCAGCGAGCAGCTTGCCGAACAAACAAGGCGTACACCACTTAAGACTTGAAATGCTTTTTTTGGAGTTCCCGCCGGCGTTGCTCATCCTTACTCAGATCGCACCTTTGAAACTGGCCAAGAACTGGGCTTCTTCCCAGGTCGTAGCAATGCTTCCCCAAAAAGGCCTCACGCCTTGGCGGGGGAAGCCGCACGATTATGATTGGGCACATTGTAAAAAATGAAACCTCTCTTGAGCAACCAGCTCACCCTCCATGGGCAGTTTGAATGTACGGGCTTGGCTCTACCAGGCATTCAATCATCAAGCCGCTGGCTTAAACTATCATGAACAGGCAACAGGAATGCTTAACACAAACACCCTGGTAGTCACGCATGTACACACAAACACGTGCTAGCAGCACTGATGAAGATGTGAATGATCTTCAATCTCCACTTTGCAAGGATCCAGCTACTGTTGATGCGTGCCGTGCTGAACATGTCTCTGTACGCCTGCCCTAGCAGCAGGCACAAGATCTTCCATTCGGCTTGACGACACCGTGCGAAAGCTGGATCATACGACATAACGAGGCAAAGGATCCTACCCGTTCATCGATTTGCTTGTTGAGCCCGACCTGGTTGACTTTGTCATGTCAGATTTGCTTCTGCCTTCTGCACAAACTATTTGTGTTCCCAAAGCACTGTCTCCTCTAGGCGGCGCAAAGACTCTGCAGCCACAGCATCCATGAAGGGTGGGTGCAGTAGCTCTTGCTTTCCTCAGCGGCAAGTTCTTTACAAGTCAACAGCAATCGATTCGTGGGGGACGCCTCGCAGTCAAAGCGGACAGCTGCAATTTTTTACTCGAGCAGCTGCACTCCAAGCAACACACAATGATTCCGTTCAACACTCTATAACTCCTCCTATCCTGGCACGAGCCTAGGTGTCCTTTGAACAAATAGATGGCAATGGTAGATACGTGGAACCAAGCTGAAACCAGTACCACAGTTCAGGCAGTCCAAAAGGACACGTATGGGCCGTATGGGCATGGGGGAATCTGGTTCAAGTCATTCTCCCAGATTCACCGTTGCTACTCACGGGTTGAAAAAACAATTGTCCCCACTGGATCGCTGGTGGTGCAATCCCGTATCTGAAATCCAATCCAATGCTGTGCGTTTACCCCCGGGCATTCTGGATGGTACCATGCAACTCGCAGCCTTTTGTTGGGAAGGAAAGCTCTTGCTAACATCCACAGACCCACAAGAGCATGGGACACATTGCACCGTCCTTGCAAAAAACGGAAACCATCGCAAAGCGTGTTGTGGAAGGGAATGGAGTGCCAAGAGTTGCCATTGTGAAGCCCAACCATGACGTCAAGTAAAGCCAAAGATGGACTACAACCCCCGGATTTTCCGGGCCTCGCTTTTGAGCTAACCCCAGAAGTGCCAAGCAAAAATCGGAGACTCTCTCTCTCTCAACATGGGCCCGCCTGCCTGGCAACAAATGGAGACCGTCTGTCTCTCTGAACATGGGCCAAGCTCACCAGGCCAAACAAAAAGGAGACCGTCTCTCTCTCTCTCTCTCTCTCTCTCTCTCTCTCTCTCTTTCTCTCTCTCTGAACATCGGTCTCTCGCCTTCTTACCGCGCGGCCGAGCGCCCACACGGTGTTCGCTTTGTCCTGCGCGCTGAATTCCGCGAGCTTCGCCAGGCTCGCGGCGGCGAAGGCTTGGAAGAGGGGCCCGTCGTAGGCTTCCATGGTGGAGAATGCCCAGGCCGTGTTCGAGATCTTCCTCGGCACAGGGGTCTCGTCATTTTCCAAAGAAGACTTGCCTGAAAAGGATGGGCCAAAAAGGGCCGTCCACATAAAACACACAGGCACGTGATGATCGATCGCAACCCTTTCAGAGGCATGACAATCACGAAAAGGAAAAGGCAGCTCGCAGTCACAAGCACTGGGCCATCAAAAGACACGTCCAAAACTGAAACCGCCCGTGCTCCCTTGTGGGCAGAGTTGCGTTTTACGTTGAACACGAAACATCAAACAAACTTGTTCGGTGCTGTATGGGCCAACCTGGGTTTCCAGGATTGCAAGGGGGACATTTGGTGCAAGTTGATGTGTACAGGGAGTGCCCTCTTCATTGTGGGGAGACGCGGGGAGCCTCACGAAATTGGCTGACCCTGGGATCCCAATTATCAGTCGGCTCACACATGAATGATAAGGAACTCTCGGCCGATTTGGAGAAATCACGGTCGCCTGGCCTTAATCAAGGCCCTTCAAAGCGCTCATACTCGGCCTATCCCACAGGATAAACCTCCCCAAGGGCCTTCGACGATGGAAACGCTGAAGTCACCAGCGTTGCTAAGCGTCACCAAGTCTCTTTCTCTTTGATTCGCTGGTTCTGGGACCGTAGGACCTACGGTCCTAACTCATACTCTCCTAAAACTTGACATCGACCCCTGAAGTTCTTGGCATCCCCAAGTGGAAAAAGGAGACATCCTGCTGCTAGCGCTAGCCTTTTTTGGAAGTTGCACGTTGATCTTCATGGGTCCAAGCTTGTCCTCAGAGCCAGAAGGGTGCGTCTCAAAATAAAACCGTCTGGATGGTTTGCAAAGAAAAGGGAGCCTTAAAAGGGACACCAACCACCTAGCGGCTTCCAGTTTGAACAAAGACATCACATCCTTGGCTTCTGCAAAACCCACCACATTGTGTTCCCTTCTTCCTTCCGCCTGAAAAGCTTCCACGGGAACCTCCCCCCCCCAAAAAAAAAGAAAAATAGAAAAGGGAAAAGAACCTTCGGCGCGGTTTTCGGCCCGCTTGCCCGTCTCTCCGGCTTGGCGTCTGGGGCCCGAAGCGCGGCAGCGTGCGCTGCGCGGTCTCCGAGAGTGCCGCCCACAGCTTCGAGGAGCGGATCAGCAGCCGCGCGCTCGCCCAGGCGCCGTTGGAGGTGTCCTGCACCACGCGGAATTCTCCATGCTGCAATTACGCCGCGTATGTGCCGCTTGCTTGGGGGTAGACTGGTTTTTGCGGATTTGGTACTTGGAAGACTCTGGAAGACCCTGAACATGAGTTTCACCTGGCTGGAAAGAGAGGTGGAGGCAAGCTAGGGAAACTTAGAAGGACATGCCCTTCTGGCTGTAGAGTACCGTGTCTTGGTCAGTAGCTTCGTCATGTTCTGCAAGAAAATGCTGCTCAGCGTCCCATCAGCAGCATCATCATCGGATAGCATCAGCATCAGCATCATCTGCAATAGGAGCGACCACGACCACGACCACGACCACCACTACCATCACAGGTACGCTTCTGACGCACTAAGCACGCCACTGCCTCGCTATGTCGTCGTGGTCGGCGAGCAGGGTTTGGACAACTTGTTCATTGTCCATCCAGCAGCTGGAACATAAATCCCATCAGCCTACCAAAATTATTCTGGGGAAGTGGAAATGACAATGTCCGCTGAAAATGTACACTTCCGCTGCCATCTTCGAAACCATTGCTGCAAGCGATTTGTGACTGACAGCTGTTCCTCCAAACAACTGGCTGCGATCGAGCACATTGGTGTCGTGCAGGTCAATTGCCGCAAAGCAAAGAAGCACTGGGCTCTTCGCACATGACTCTTCAGCCAGCCGCAAACTCAGGGCGCCAAGCATTATTCACGCCAGCGCGAATGATTCATTTAGATGCATTTAGCAGGTCCCACACTCCCGCTTTCTTGCCCCGCGCCTGCGGTCCGAAGGTTTCCAACTGGGAAAGGATCTGCTCTGACAGCTGCTGGAGGAAGGTGGGGTGAAGGAACACCAAACGGGCCATGGCCCACAGGGTGTTGGAACCTGAGGCATATGGCTCATTTGAGGGGAAACACATGTGACATCTTCCAGCCCTGTACTCCTTCACAGCTTGGGTTCTTCCAACACGAAATATGTGCGACGCACGGCTGTTGACGTCTCATGTGCCAAATGGCGAGCCGTCTCTCAATCTTTTCCGAACCGGCCATACGTTCATGCCTTTGCTGTTCCCAGCAACACCCCGTTGGCCAGCCGGAAGCATTCAAATAAAAAGACACCTCTGTGGACTGGGGTTCCTGTGCATTGCTTTTCAAGTATTATGGCACTTTTTGTGGAGCCTCTGACTGGGTTTGAACAATCTTCTGAAATCAATTTTGAGGAAGCTAGTGTTCATTTCCTTCACTTCATACTCCGGCCTAAATCAGCCGGCTTGGGAGATGTTCACCGTCGTTCCTTTTAGCAGCCACCCAAATCAACACTAATCGAGAAAAAAAAACCACAAGTGAGCCACAACTAGACTTTCGCATCAAAAGAGCACGTCCAAGCGCTTATAGGACTCGCCACTCGCCAAACGCTTCTTGATTAGGTTAATAAACTCTACAACCTTTGACAAGCCAAGCTTGGAGTTTGGCTGAATTTCCCTAGATCCCTGAAAATACGAAAGCTTAAAGTTTTCGGACCACTTGACAATTTGTCTTCCCAAGGGTTCCCCCAAAGGCTCACATGGGTCCCTCCAAACAAAAGAAAACATTGACGTGAGGCCTTCGTTTGGAAAGGGGGCTCATGCACTTCCACGTTTGGTACCACATCCCCCTTTTGGTTCCTATCAGGAAATTGAACATCACAAATCAAATAACATCCGCAATCCTGGGGTCACTGTTTGACACACGTCGATTTGGGTGGATTTCCTCAAAGGGCTTTTAAAACCAACCAGACCGGGGGTTCCCCAAAGAAAGACACCCATTTGGGTGTGGCTCAAAATGGTTACGCTCATGTCAAGTTTTGAGCCACGGCCATTTGAGCCCCATCCAAGGCGCTGTCTTGCGCCTTGAAGTGTTGCATCGTCTCGAGGCCACGCTGCGCGATCAGGTCCAGCAGCTGCCGGTCATCGCTGCCGAGCCGGGCAGCACACCAAAAGGTGCTGGCCACGTCTCGGGGCGCCTGAAGCGGGTCGCTCATGGACACCAGGAAGTTCAGAAGTTCTAGAGGAAATTTGCCAAACACCAAACACTGTGGAATTCCATGCAGGTTTCGAAGAGGTCTGAGGGTGCCTTGTTGCCCTAAAGTCCGAGACCCAAAGAACCGCGCCCCAAAAGCCCCTTGGTACATTCTGAGGTACTTTGACCTTCTTAGCCCTACCTGGCCGTGCTTGCTTTGGGACAGATCGATGGCTCCAAACAAGGTTGCTCCAAAGACTCCAATTTTTGTTTTGGTCCCATAGAGGCAAACGGAAACACTTCGATCTATCTGGACGCTGTGCGTTGTAAGCAGAATAGGCGCTAAGGGGTAGTTCTTGGCTTTGTCGTATTCCCTTTTACTCTCGAGCACGTCCTTTGCTGCGGCTTCGGACATCCTTTTATCCACACAGCGTTGTTTTGGGTACACGGACATTTGCAAAATGCGAACAAACAAACGTATAAACAGGGACATACAGCCTCATCTTCAACGGGCTAAGATTTTGTTCCTCTCCCGTGGCGCCAATCTCTTGCCTGGTCAAATCTTGACCATCTTGAAGTTGATGGATTGATTGGCTAAGGACATTCTTGGCATGATGATTCTCTGGAACAATATCTGAACGGTTTAACAACGTGTGATGTACATAATTTGCGTCCCATACTCAACATTTGATTACACTATCAGCAGTGGTGATGCAACCCTCCAAACAACAACATAAACAGGGGAGCTGGTCACATCTGGTGCTGTCAGCTTCCCTGAGGTTCCTTCTCACGACATCCCTTCCAATTTCGTGGCCGCTGATTTCATGCCTCCTCTTGCTTTGATCACTCTTTAGTCGATCCTTTCTTCACCTCACGCCAATCAAATATCATGGCCTTACGGGGACTTGTTAAACATTGACAAACTATTTGAAGGTGAAGAAGGCAACACGTAGCCAAACAAAGGGCCCCTAAGGCCGCTTCTCGAAAGCACCCCAATTCTGGCACAACCCGTTTGCAGCTCATGATAAACCTCCATTTCCAAATCCCAGCTTAGAACTTCGTCATCTGAGCCAGAGGTGCATGGACACGCACAATCGGTCCTTGATGATCCTACCTGTACCTTGCCTCATGTTTCGAGGCATCCTTCTTTTCAGAAAATCACTTTTGCAGAACTAATGGACATCTGAATCAATGGAGTCTGAAGAGAATGAATGAACAGCATGCTAAAGGAACAGACCCTCGCAACAATCTTGGTACCCTCCAACCAACAAACGCGGAAGCGCACAGGCCGCTTTCCAAAAGGAAACTAGTCTTCCAAAACAAGTCGGCCTACTTCCGTTTTCGCTGGGGTAAGGGCACAAAAAGTACCAACACCTTTCTCTAGCCGTGCGATGACCGCACCGCGCGCCCCCCCCCCCATCTTGTTGTCCTCAGTAGAAGACAAGCCGACGGCACATGAAAACCAAGCCAAACTGGGTCCAGTGGAATCCATTTCTCAAACTGACTGAAGGCAGACTTACGCATTTCACTCGGACTGCCCGCGTCCCGCACAGCCTGGAGCGCGACGCGCAACGCACCGAGGCACGAATTGGTGGACCCGCGCTCTGGAGCCTTCGGCCAGGGCGGCGCTGAGCGCCGGGGTCGCCATCGTGGTGGCAGCAAAGGCCCAGGCGCTGCTGGTGAGGTCCTGTGGGCGTCCAACATGGGCTCGTCTTTTCAGGGTACCCGTTTTGGGAGGTCTTGTTTTCAACAAACTACAAATGGAACACCGAAGCCAGGCTGAGAAGCCAAAAGGAACACCGAGGCCATTTTGGGGGGGTCCGACCGAAACACCAAAAAAACATGGTGAAGCACTTTTGGTTGGATATAGGGAAACCATCTTTTGGACATCAAAGACCAAGCAAGAGTTCGTAAACCGGCGGACAGAGAATGGGAGTGGATTTGTGGATGGGCCGGTTGCTATCATTGAATGGGCGAATGGGAGTGAACTATTGATTGGCTTGTCCACATTCAGGAATGCCACGGGTGTGCGGCACTCCCTTCTGCTGGGTACCTTGGTCAGACTTTGGCCCGCCAAAAAGTATACTTGCATGTTAATAGGGACCATCCAGGAATCCCAAAAGGGCGAACCTCTCTCTCTGTCTCTCTCTCTCTCTCTCTCTCGCTCTCTCTGTCTCTCAGCCCTTTGTCCTGCAGCGTGAACTCCAACAT